ACATGAATAAAACCAAATTTCTTCTGATAGGTTCCAGTTATTCACATAGTGGGTAGCAGTACTACTGCTGGACTGAAAGAGATTAGATCCTTCCAATTGCTTTTTATTCTGTTTCATACCATGGAAAACATTAGGTCTCCAAAAACCATGGGTTGAAGTTCTGGTACAAACACAAACTTCCTCTTGCCTTTTTAGTGGGCATCAAGAACCGTTGGACAAAGCATTTGTTGATAGTAGTGATTGGTAACTTTCCTTCACTGTAGCATATATTAACAAATGGCTCTTTTCAGGTGTGTATTAAAGGGGTAAATGTGTTTCGTGGCTATTTGAAAGATCCAGAAAAAACAGCGGAGGCTCTGGACAAAGATGGCTGGCTTCACACAGGAGATATTGGGAAATGGCTACCAGTAAGTTAACTTACACAGCTGGAATGATACTTTTATAGTTACTGGCAGAAATTTAATAAATAGATTAGAAAGCATTTGGTATTGAAGAGAAATAGTTAGGTAAAAGACAAGAATTTGTGTATAATCACTGTTGTAACTGAATCTGTGTGCCTGGGCCTAAAAAAGTATTGCCAGTGCTGAGGCTTTCCTCAGTTTAGATTAGATGGATACATAACCTATTTTCTTCTAACACTAGTTTGACAGTTCTCTGGCTCTAACACAGTTTCACTGTGCCAGTGTGGCATGCATAAGGTGTGTTAGAATGGTTTTTCACTTGAAGTGCCTCCTCTTGAGTGAAACTCATTTCTGCCAACAGAATGGTACATTGAAGATCATTGACCGGAAAAAACACATATTTAAACTAGCCCAGGGAGAGTACATAGCACCAGAGAAAATAGAGAATGTGTATCTGAGATGTGAAGCTGTTGCACAGGTGTTTGTCCATGGAGAGAGCTTGCAGGTAAGCATTTTTCAGTTAATTTAAAAAATTTATGCAAAAGGAGACTGCAGAAAAATCTTCCTTTCTTCTTTCCCTTCACCCCAGACTTCGGGACTGAAATTTAAAGTTTTATTGTAAACTTTTATCATTATGCATTTTGGTTCTGATTGGATTCCAGCAGTTACATAGCATGTTTCTGGATTTAGTTTCACACCAGGTAGTGGAGCAGACTAATTTGCATATTAATGACTATATATAAATTGCTAACAGTGTGCAGTGGGGAAAAACCCAAAAAACAAACCAAAACAGAAAAACCCACACACACCAAGAAAGAACCTGGCTATCTTGGGGGTTTTCAAGTATGAGGAAAAATGTGGGTCTTAATTCTTTCAGTTCAGTTCAACTGAACTGCACTTTGTGTTCAAGTAGGCATCAGAGAAAGCTGCTGACGTTACAGCAGGATCAGAAATGCTCCCCAAAGAAATGTGTAGGAACTAAATTGTTGACTTAGGAATTTTTGTCAAGCTTTTTTCTCTTTTTTTAGGCCTTCTTAGTAGGTGTTGTGGTACCTGATCCTGACACTCTGCACAACTGGGCCAAGAAAAAGGGATTTGAAGGCTCCTATCAAGAGCTATGCAGAAACAAGGTAAGGCATATCTGACTGAACAGTTAGATGTTCTGCATCAACTTTTTCAAGTTGCTGCTTATGAAAGCATGAAGCTATACAACGTATTTCTGTATCCACAGGATGTAAAAAAATATATTCTCGAGGACATGGTGAGAATTGGGAAAGAATCTGGTTTGAAGTCATTTGAACAGGTATGATGCTTATGAGAACTAAATACCTAATTCTTTAAACTTCAACACCCATACGATCTGATTCTCCAAAAACTGCTTTTAATTTGTGTCTGGAAAACTTTTCAAGTGATGGGCTTTGTTAAGATGTCTGGGCAAGTTTTTAATAGTCTTGTCTATTTCAAGAAATACAGCTTAGATAGTAACTTTTTATTTTCCAGGTGAAAGACATTGTCCTGCACACTGAAATGTTTTCTATTGAAAACGGCCTGTTGACACCAACACTGAAGGCAAAGAGACCAGAACTGCGAAAATACTTCCAGTCACAGATAGATGAACTCTATGCTAATGCCAAAATGTAACTGCAAATGGCATGAGGAAAGTGGCACGTCTGTCTACTGTTGGCCTTCGTATCTGTATTTTGACTACAGCAAAAATAGGGAAGGAAACTGTGCAATCATTAACTTGTACAAAAATGGGTACTTGCCATAGGAACACTGAAGAAATGGAACACTGCCTTACTGTCAAGTCGTGTTGCATACTGTTTTTATGGTGACCTACAATTTCCAAAAAGAGCCTTAACTATAAATGATAACTATATGTAAGTTATTTAATATTTCCTTGGTCAAAAATGGGACTCACCTTCACCAAGGAGCTAAGGTTTTATTGCCAGCATGTTTGCTGTCTGCAGTGTGTTTTGCAGTTGTCAATTCCACAAAGGATTTGGCAGCTTTGAAAATGCCTCTTAAGTATCTTGCATCCTCAGAAAAATTACTTCAGCTGTTAAAAAAAACCCACCACCCAACCAACAAAAAACCCAAAAACCCAAACCCTTACAGTTTATAGGGCTGGTATCACATCTTTTGTTAGTCCCAGTATTAACTGGGGCAAGGCATCTGAGCTGTATCTCCCCTCTACATCTGCAGCCAGTTATGGGATGTACTTCTATAGGGTAGAAGTCAACACTCCACACAAAGAAGACTGAATAGAAGTTCCTCAGAGTCTGCATATGGTGGTTCTCCACTGTGTGGATGCAGTTCATTCAGCAAGTGTACCTCTGCTATATTAACATGATTCTGGAGTGGTGCCAGCCCTGCAAATGAGCAGATCCCAACTCTGGCAAGAACACTAGAGACCTAAAAACCAAATCAGAAGGCTGGGCTATGCTAACAGTCAGGGTAAACATTGCACCTGTACCAGACACTTGTTTCCCTGTAATGAACTTGTATTTTAAATGTGTTTTATAAAAATGTGCCAGGCCCTCTGTAAGTGGAAGAGCTTCTGATATAACCTGTTTTCTGTACTTTATGTATGAGCCACTGAGTACTCTTCACTGAATAGCAAAATAGGTCAGGTAGAATGTTTTTGCCTGATGCTTTGCAGCAATTGGAATGATTTGTACATGCCAACAGAACTGTGTGTTGGCCCAGGATAGGTATTTGTTCAGGAATAAAAACCTAATTCCCAGATAAATTACAAAATAATAACTAGTTATCTTTTGTTTGAAAAATCAGCAGAAATAAGCCTTATTACAGCATAAGTCCTTTGCTATCCTAACAGAGTTGGTTTTGCATTAACATTCATTGCTGTTTTTTGAAAACATGGATATATGTAAAATACAAGCACAACAAGGTTTGCACTAAGATTTGTGTGTGATTGTAATGCACTACTCTGTAGCGTAATTTCATATGTGTATACAATTCAGGTACACAAATCCAAGTCAACAGTTAGAGCAGTAGTTTTACATTGAAATTCAAATGTTTGCTTAGTGTTGGCTATTTCTATGTTTTATAAAACCAAAACAATTTTCAAAACCAATGAAGGAAACCAAAATAAATATTTCTGCATTTCAATGCTGTGATGTGTCTGTTTATCAAAGAAAAATGCTGCTGACTAACAAGCCCAGGTGTAATATTCTAACTGACAAGCTGTACAACTCCACTGCTACAGACATGCTAAACACAGTATAAAGGCTGGTTGTTTACACTTTTGCTTTTGGAAAACACTTATGTTTAAGGTGTTGGCCAGTATTTGCAAGAAAAGGATGCTGTTGTATGTAACTTGCTTTTTCGGTATGTTACTAAACAAGCAAATCTTTACTTTTATTTTTGTCTTTTTCCTGGCAGTTGTGTTCTTACCATCACCTCAAATGACTTAAGTGAAAGGTGAAGTTTTCTGAAACTCTGCCTGGGTGGTAGTGGGTTTCCTTATTCCTGCCCTCACACCATGCATTTGGCTTAAATCAGGGGTATGGCTTGAGAAATTTCAGGGATGGAGTTACCAGACCAGGGTAGAGGAAGCACCAACACCTGCACACTATTTAAAGCTCCATGTGAATATAGATGTCAGTGCAAGATGCTAAGCAGACTTCTGCTCCTACTCACTGTAGAGTTTCTCCTCCTAAATAATTTTGTATGTTCCTTTATACATTTCTTCCATACTGAAGGAAACTTAAACCCAAATTGTCACTTATTCCATAGCATACTCAAATCTGTGTGCATGCTGCTTGGAAAAGCAGGGAAGTGTCACCACATGCCTCCTGCTGGAGATAGCTGAGATATCCAAGGTTTATGTTCTTAACAACGTTCTATTGAAGCAACCTTTCTGGAAAAGCCATCTATCACTACAGAAACAAATTGGTACTGTATTATTTGTGGCTCATGGTGCTAGGTGCTATAGCCAGCAAAATAGAAGTCTAAAGAGAGCTTACCACCTCTTAAGCCTGACGTTCTATTTCACGGTTTTAGCTGATTTTGTGGCTAAAGCCAAAGGGGTGTGTGGGTGCCAGTGTCACCACGGCCAGTGGATAAGGAGGTGTGGCAGTCTGTCCAACTGACGGGACTTGACAAATTGCTAAATCTCCTCTTAACAATTTAATTGCCAGAAATGGAATTTTAAGTTTTCAAGCTAAAGCCTACTTTTTCCCCCCTGTTTTTTACCCCCCTGTTTTTTTTTTGTTTTTTTTTTTTTTTTTTTTTTTTTTTTGTGCTGTTTAAATTGATTTCTGAACTGTTTATGACCGTAGCTTTCACTTTTGCAGAAGAGATTTCTTTCGCTTGCTTTTCCAGATGTACAGCGTCAGTTGAGGGAAAGGGAGAGGATAAAAAAACCGGAAAGTTCTTGTGATTTATTTTTTGTATTTAGTCAGAGTCATTAACAGAAAACGCAGGACAGTGGCGGTTAGAAGGATTCCTCGCAACGTCGCAGGTTCTCCAGCGGAGCGGTGTTTGCCGGCGCTGGCCCGCTTCCCTTTCCGGCCGGCGGCTCCGCCCCTTCCTTCCCGCCGGCGGCGCGCGCGTTCCAAAGGCGGCGGGAGGCTGCCCTGAGGGGCCGGGCCGGCGGGGACGGGGTTTTGCCGCTTTTGGAGTGAGCTGAGCAAAATATCTTGAAGTAACAAAGAATAGTTTGAAGTAACAAAGATTTCCCGTTCTCTCCCAAGTACCGACACAGAAAAAGCTGAGTTGTATCGGGGACAATTTTTCACTAACTTCATCCTCGGTTTTGTATTCAGCAGCGTACACTGAACAGCGAAATGTCCTCAAAGAAGAAAATAAAGAAGAAACATAGCAGCTATAAGCTAGAGGTAAGTTTCGCTAGGTAGGGCAGAAATCAAACAGCCGGAGTTTCGGCTTTGTGGGGCGTTCAGAGGCGGGCGAGCTGAAGGGCCCTGCGGGGAGGCCGTGTGGCAGCGGCTGAGGTCTCTTGGTCTGTTCGGCTGGACACTGAGGGGACACCTCATCGTGGTCCCGGCTTCCTCGCCAAGGGGATTGCGGGGGCAGGCACTGATCTCTTCTCTCTGGTGACCAGTGAGAGCTCCAAGGAGAGTGGCCTCAAAGGCTGAGGTTGGATATTAGGAGTTCTTCACCCAGAGGCTGGTTGGACACTGGACCAGGCTCCCCGGGGAAGTGGTCACAGCACCAAGGCTGGCAGGAATTCAGGGACTGTTTGGACAGTACCCTTAGGCACATGGTGTGACTCTTGGGCTCTGTGCAAGGCCTTGTGGGTCCCTTCCAGTGCAGGATATTCCGTGAGTCTGTGCTGTGTTACTGTGCAGTCCGGGCATTGTCCCCGGAGGCGGATGCTCAGGAGTTAATGCACCGCTTGCTTTGCACTGGGAGCTGCTGGCGTGGGCTTGGGGTGCTGATGTGGAGTTTTCCTTTTTCCTTTTAGGAGTAGCACAGAATGGATTATTGACTTTCAAACGGGCAAAAGTTTAAAAACAATCTCAGAAGATTGATAGAGAAAGTAGTTGATGTGTATATTTGCTACTATAATGCTGGGGCACTGCTAAGCACTGGTAAAATTAAAAAGCTCCAGAGGTCAGTCTTTTCTGGTTATAATTCAGCCTACAGATATACACTGAAATTAGAGAGGAAAGTCACTTGTGCATTTTGTGAATGGCTCACAACTGTTTCCACAACTGTTTCATAAACTAGAGTCATTCTTCCTTACCCTTCTGCTTTACAGAAGTGTCTCTATAATTCCTGATTTATAAATTCCACCTTTGTTTTAAATAAGAAGTTACTCTATAGCTTTTCAGTTTCTTAAGATGCAAGTAATTAAATTGGACAAGGGTGGAAATTTATGTATATAGAGATGAAAGAAGAAATATTTTAATGCCTGAAAAGAAAGACTACAGGTATAGAAACCAGATTAGGTGTTATAAGTTTTCTATTAGAGTGTTGTAAGATTTCTAAGCTTGTATACTTCTATGAAATAAGACAAAGCTTGCAGTAGAATACAGTATCAAATAGCAGAACATAAACATTTTATACCATCACTTCTTTTAGGGGAAAAACCCCACAGCCTGAGACAAAAACGTGCTTTAAATCCTTATGCCATAGCTTAGGAGTCAATATGGTTCTGGTTAAGTGTATTTCTAGCCAAATATTCTTGACATTTATTGTCACATTTAATCTGTGGTACATTCAAAGAGCTGGGTAAACTGGCTGTTAATTTCACACCCATCCAGGAGCACAAAGCCGACTCCAGTCCTCGCTGGAAATCGCTTCCACTTGAGGAACCGGATGTCTCAAGGATATTGAAGGTAGCAGAAACAAATCAACTTGAGGACCTTGATGATTCCTTTGGTTAGTACTATCTTGAATGTCATTTAATGTGTGATTTTCACAACCAACCGCATGGACAAAATACTTCAGGTGCTTACCTAGGAAAAGGTTTTGGTTCTTTGCAAGAGAAGGTCATGGAGAGAAGAGACAGATGGGATTTTGTGTTATTTTCTGTAATTTAGGAAGTAACAGGAATAATGCTGTAGTATGTGCAAATAAAAGTCAATGGAAAAATAGTGGCTGTTCCACCTTTATAGTCTGAACGGTAGCGTTTCACACATCATAATATTGCAGTTGTGTAAGAACTTACAGTTAAAAACCAAAGTTCAATATCTTAACTTATTCTTTATTAAATTACACAATTATGAAGTGACATTTTTTCCATTGTAAGAGTATTCGTGGTAGCAGACCTGGACGTTTGTAGGGGTGTTTTTCTGCTGCTTTCAGATGTTACTTAAAGAAATAACATAACATACAAATTTTGGTGAAGAATTAAAACCACTTCCATGCTTTATATTGGACTTGTGTAATGAGGCCTCAATACACAGGAAGAGAATCAATTCAGAAGGCATAGATGCTCCTCTGTGTGGAGTCCTCTGTTATATCTGTGTATTTTTTTTTTAAAAAACAGTGTATAATTAGAAGCTGTAGAGAAAATGTTAAGAGCTATTTCTCAACTGTAATAGTTATTACTCTGAGCAAACTATGGAAATATAAACGTGACTTAGGAACAGCATTGACAATGAGCTATAAAAAACAATTTAGCCAAAGGGTTGTTTGTAGGGCAAGGCTGCAAAATGAAAAGCTCTTTTCCTTATTTCTGTGGTATGTATTCAGAACACAAAAAGGATGCCAACTGACACTAATGTAAACTAACAAAAGTTTTGTGGCAGTGTGCTTGAAAAAGAAATTTATACTGTGGAAGGCGTGCTAAAACCTAAATTTTTCAGAGTTCTAATCTATTTTGGTAGCTACCTTCAAGAATTCTACATTTAGGAATATTCTGTAGCAGCAGTGATTGCCTTCTCATAACATCCACTAAAGCAGTTTAAAATCTATATTAAAAAAAGAAAGAAAGTAGCTGTTTGAATGTGTAGAAGGTTTACATATGCCATAGCAAAGAGAGACTTGAAATAAACTGTACCAAGTATTTTGCTTGCTCTGTGCCATATGTACATGCTGAGCTGCCTTTGGATTGGGTTAGTAAGGAAATAGCAGGTGGATGGGTACAGAAACTGTGAAACCTTTCACTATCTATTTTTCCATAATCCTCAAATAATACTTGTAAGAAGAACTTCCTTTTTTTTAGTTAGTAAACCACAGATATTCTAACTAAATGCTTAATGGCTGGCAGTGCTCTTTGCCTTAAAAGATGGGAGCAATGCTCATGCAGTTTGTTTTTTGTTCTTTATAGATCACCCTTTGCACAGCACTGCTGTGGATGCTTATGGAGAGGGACATTCACAAAACGAGGCACTCGGTCGTGTTTCAGCATCACAAAGGCAAAATACGGACAGACGGCCTGCTGGGAAGAAAAAAAAATTGTCAGCATTTAATTTCATCTTTAGATTTTTAGATTTAAAGGGAAAAGTGTTCTACTTAAATTATATGTAACAAAGAAAATTATTTTTAAAATATTTTAATTAACATTTTAGTATATTTTTCATATGTTTATTCAAATCTGGTTGAGATGTGAAATTGTCCTGCTATTTAATTCAAGCAAGAACTTTAATAGTACTCATATGAGACATAGCTGTACAAAATGTTCCCCAAAACACAAGGATTTGTGTATATGGTTGAAGATCATCCTTCCTCAGAGGGTAGTAGTGTATGTTTTTCTTTTCCCAGTAAAAAACCACGTCACTCAAAGCCCTCCAGTGGTGATGTCGAGGAATTCAACACAGCTGATGCTGGAGAGGAACCCCTTAAGGAGAATGTGGTACTGAAAAAGTTTCATGATTATTATCAGTCAATTTAATTTTAGTTTACTTCATGCCATGCCTGCATTAGAGGGTGGGGGGAGAGAAAGACCTTCCATTTATTTCTTAGTACTTAATTGTATCCAAAATAATCAGTCCTCAGAGTATTCCAGTGAGGTGGCCAAGTGAAATGCTTAAAGCTACAAATCATCACGTCAACAAGCAATTTAATAGCCAGGTGTTCCTGGATCCTGTAGCCTATTCTCTTGCTGGTTTTTTTTATATTCTTTCCTTTTTTCAATCATCTTCTTTGTATCTGCAATATATGTTCTCAAGGAATGGCATACTAGATGGAACGTTAATCCTTTGTACTTGTGTAGTATTGAAGCAAAACGGGTTTATCAGAAAAAGAATATTGATTAAATTAATTCTGAATATGTGTTAGAATTAAAAGCCATTCAGTTTTGAATGAGCGTTTTTGAACACTTACTCCACAATTAGTGTAAAATGCTTGTGGCCCGCTTAGCTGCCAGACATACAGCAGGAATCAACGGTCTGCAGGCTCAAGAAAGTAACCTATGATGAAAGAAGGTCTGCAGTTGCTGGAACAAGAGTTTTTTCTGTATTGAAATTTACTGGAATTGTACACTCAGCACAGAGTGTTAGTCTTTCATGAGTAGGCCGGATGCATGCAGCGCTCTTACACAAGTGCTGTTGTGGTGTCACAAAGTAGTCGAAGCAGAGAAAGGATTGGGACAGAAAGTGGGTGAAAAGGAAGGTGAGCAGGCACTGCTGGTCAGAGAAATGTTAATCCTGGTCAATGACTGTGCTGAACCAAGGGTCCTTAAGCTCCTTAGGATGTCTCCAGCCCTGCTGCATGGCCAGTGGCGTATGGATCGGTGGCCAGTGTGTCAGGCAGCCACTGTCCTGCAGCAGGGTGACCACTGGGCTGGGACTGGTGGAACAGGCTGAAGGAAGTGTTACTGATGCTTCAGTCAGGAAATGCTTTCTGCATTCTGCCTAATTGTCATCTCTTAGGAGTTCAGATGAGTAAATCTAGGGTTTATTCTGGAAGTTCATCTGCTTTTCATGTCACAGAAAACTCAAAATATTATTCAATTCCAGGCAAGACAGGAGCAGCCTTCAGAGGAGAGCCCATCAGATCCTTCTGGTAAAGTACACTTTTCAGAACTCCCATATAGCTTTTCTTCATTCAAGATCGAAGTTTTTCAATGGTTTTCATTTCTGGAATGTAGCAACACAGTGCTTCTAGAAATGGGAAGTTTTAGTTTGAGTTTTGGTATAGACCCCAGTTTGATTCCCATGGTTTGTATCCCTGGACTTGCCTATTCTGAACTCTCCTGAAGGGGTAAAGCCATAGGTGTGCATTATATCTCTAAGTCAGCCTGGTTTCCTTTGGAGGGAAGCCCGGAGCTATGTCTATGAAGCTGTAGGACGTGTCAGTACATCCCTTGGTCTGGGAGCCTGGAGCAGCAGCTGTGGAGCAGAACTTGGAGTGCCCTGACTGCAGTGCAGGAGCAGCTGTTGGTGTAAAGACCTTGAGACAGGGAGTCTAAGACAGTGGCATTTTTCACTGGGAAGAAACTGTCCCTTGTGTCATCTTGCTTCCTTTGAACAGGACCCCATCATGTTTCAGTACTGGATTTACATTGGGGAGTGTGTGAAGAAACATGGTTTAATTTTTGTGGAATTGGTTTATAGTGCTATTACAAAGTTTAAAGAAATGTATTTGTGTGTGGTGGGTTTTTGAAGCATATATGGTATTAATAAAAGAATAATATATATAAGAATTTATATAAATATAAAAGCTCATGATTCTTTGAGTAATGCAAGATGCAAATTCAGGCTAATATTTTTTTAACACAAAAAATCACGTCTATAGTACACTATGTAGTTTATTACTTACTTTACTGATGTGTTCCTGGGCTTGCTTGAATCAATAAAGAATAAGAATTGTTACATATCATTGATCATCCCAGTTCTAAGGTGTTCCCAGGTAAATCTATCACAGTTGCACAGGCAAAGACATGAAGTAATTAGAATATTCCTCTTCTCAAAATTCATGTTAAAATACTCATAACTTTTAGATGGTTCTTTTGATGGTGGGCACAAGAGTTTTTCTGTTGTTTTACAATGTGTACCAGAATTGTGCAATGCTTATGTTCATTCTGTTGTTCCAGTGGATAGTCCACTTTCTGTACAGGTTTGGTGTCCCAAAGAGCTGAAGAGATCTCCTAGAGATATTACAGAACTGGATGTTGTTCTGGCCGAAGTTGAGAAGATAGCAGCAAATTACAGGTAAATATTCTGCTTTTCCATGACTGGATATTCAAAGTTTTAAAAAGAAATATCTGTGCTTTTGCTAATGGGCTGCCCTTTAAGGGAATCAGTATTGTATGGTTACATTCTGATGTTAAGGATTATTAAGTAAATATGATATGAATGTTTCTTCACATGTGATCTTGTCATGGTCTCCAGGGATTTGATATTTTTCCAAACATAAACAGCACATCTCAGCTGATATTTCTCAAGGTAGAAATGAAGCTATTGCTAGTATATAAAAGATCTGCAGTTGTCTAGCTGCTTGACTTTGGGTTTTATTTGTTACTCAGATGAAGGGTTTTGGATGAGATTTCACCTTTACTAAAGCAAATATGTTTTGTCCCTCTGACTTCTCCAGACAAAGCATAGAATCAAACACTTGCAGAAAGGCTATCAGTGACTTTTCTTCTGCTTTCAAGGATCAAATCACTGATCTTGTAAGTACACCAGAGATAAAATCAGTTTTGTGGTCAAAATACCTATGGTTTTATATTGCCCTTTAGACATTCACTTTACAAGCTGTAAAAGTTTCCAATCTCTTGTCAGTATAAGTAACATGAAAACACAATTTGTTGTGTGCAGGTTAGGATTGGCTGCCTCTGTGCAGGCTTTCACAAGGATTGCCTCTAGACACAACGCTGGGGTCATGCAAATACTTTGCCAAATTGTCACCTTTTGAGAATAGGAAAACATCCAATAATCCTGAAGTGTTGGTCATATTTAAATCATTATGTAGTAAAACTGGTGAGCTGCATAATTTAAATGAGCATACAGCTATGTCAAACACTGTTTTCAAAGCTCATTGACTAGAGTTTTAAAAGGTGAATTTAATTTTTGTGCTGTCTCAGTGACTTCTTAGTAAGGCCTCTAACATATTCCAGGGAAAATCATATTTTTTTAATTAACATTTTGAACATAACTGTAAGTATAAGATGTTCAAGAACCATCTGGACACAGTCCTGTGCCATGTGCTCTAGGATGACCCTGCTTCAGCAGGGAGGTTGGACCAGAAGACCCACTGTGGTCCCTTCCAGCCTGAGCCATCCAGTGATGTATTGGCTGGAAAGATTAAGATTCTGATGAGTAAAATGAACTCAGAACTGTGCAGGAGTTGTGCCAAGTACAATGGCTAAGTACTAAAGCTATAGTTCTGAGTGGTTCATTAAAAGTAACAAGTGTTGGAATTACCAGATTTATACATCTATGTAAAGATATTGAAAAATTAAGGTAGGTAGTATTATAGGAATTGGTACCAGAAGTATTATTTGCACTAACTCCTTTTGTGCAACAGTTTTCATCTGGCATGAGGAGAGAGGAAAGAATCAATACACAGTTGGTGATGTCCCTTTGGACCAGGGTTGGTGGGTTTTTTTTTAATAAATAACCAACTTTTTATGTTATTCCAAAGTAATTCTTGCAGCCGTGTTTTTAGGAGGATAGTGATGAACTCAACCTGTCAACCTGTAATTCTTCTCTGTAGATAGCAGGAGTCCAGGAATTAAAGAATATGAAGAAAAAAAATGCTAAGGTAAATACATATATCTCACTAGATTGCAGAGCATACAGTTGTGGGCATTGAAATGTTGATGACTGGAAGAGGCAAAGTAATTTACAGAAAGGGGTACTGTACTCAGAATCAACTGCACAAACAGAGGTTAGGGAACCACCAAAGTTTTTTTGGACAAGATCTGAGTAAATGTGGTGGATTGCAAACTCCAGATACATACTGCTATATGGTGTAAAATGAATGCATATGAGGATGGGTAAGATCTATGCATGTCAATTACTCTTTTGGCTTTTTGTGTTTTTTTGTTTTGTTTTTTTTTTTTTTAATGAGTGAGGCCTCTGGAGAGCCAGTTAAATAATGAGAGCTAACCTTAAAGAAACATAAATGAATATAAAATCTAGGAGAGCAGCAAAGATAGCAACCTGTGAGGACAGAACAGGATTGCTTAATTTAAAGAAGGGAAGACTCAGGCAGCTGCATTCCCTAAATAGATGCAGAATTTTTGTTCAGAGGAAGACAGTTCCTCTCTTCATTTATAGCAAGTAGGAATTTGCTGAAAGTGCAATAGGAATGTTGACAGAAGGAGGCACTAGTGTAAGGGCAGAAAAACATTGCAGTGGTTTCATCGGGGAGAGGTGAATGCCCTGCAGAAGAGAGATTTAAGAGCAGCTTAGGCACTGTCTGGATTTCTGCCCAAATTAACATCTGCAAAATTTTCAATGGCAAAATAGCTTTAACAAATAGTCAACATAAAGCTTATCCTGGGAAGTAGCAATTAATATGCCAAAGTCTTATTGACTTGAGGTGATATAGTAAACTGCTCTGCATATAAAATGAAAATTGTGATACACAACTAGCATTCACAGCCACTCAGATTTATCCTTAGTTTGCTTCTTAGACATTTGTTTAAAATTAAATTTTTAGTTGCTAAATTTAAATTTATTATGAGTTTTGGGTGTTACTTTTTTTTTTTTTTAATTGCAGGTTATATTAAAGAAAGCTTACTTAGTTATGGCAATCATCCTGAACACACATTCACATTAATTTTAATTTTTAAACCTAAAACCTCCTAGAGTTCATAATGTTTGAAATCAAACTGTCACCAACTCCTTTTGTATGCTTGTAAATCCAATGTTTCTTAAGAAAAATTTTGGATGGAGATTAGAGTTTGACATTTTAAACAGCTTTAAATTGTTTCAAATACAGATGTAACATGTGGCAGTTTATCAGGTCTGGTATCTTCCACAATGACAACCAGCGTAAAACCTCCGAGAAATAAAAGGCAATGAAATTTGAGTTGTTTGCCTTTGAAGTTTTAGAAACTGTTTCACAGACTTTGCTCACTGTTTGTTTCAGGCAATAACCAGCATCAAAAAGAAAAGGCAGCAACTGGTGCAAGCCAGAGAAGAGCTAATTGGGTATGTTTATAACGATGTACAGTAATAGCCTGAAGAACTTAAAGAGTCTGGTATTTCGTAACTCAGAAGGGAAAGTAACTTTTTTTGTTCTCTCATTTTATTTTGATGAAGTTACCACTGTCTTGCTTTTTGTTTTTACAAAAGCTCATGATAACCTCTCTCTCACATATTTCAGTTGCCTAGGCAGCCATTCTTGCAAGTTCTCTGAGCTAACTAGTTACTGGGAGGATGTTTCACACCATATGTTCATAGGAAGATCACCAGTGATAGTATTTGAATTGCAAAGGTGCTGGCTCATAAATTACAAAGGTCATACAGAAGACTCTTTGGTTTTGAGGTGGAAGAGTGTACTTCACCTCTGCAGGTGGGCAGGGGTTGCTCTTGGTACATGGCTTATTTCCTTCTCATGCGGCCACACAATTCCCCTTCTCTAACTTGGTGTCAGTTAGATGCACAACACAGCAATTACGTGGTTGGAAGAACCATTAGACTTCCCCACATCCCTTGGGTTGCTCGTGACGAGCTTTATACTGAAGCTGCATTTAACATGCACCCTGTAAGGTAACTCTGTGGGGAACCATGGGCTTGGATCCACAAAAACAGGGTAAAAACCTTTTCTCTCTGGCCGTGAGAGGTGTTTTTCTTTGTAGTACTATGGACAAACTTTTCTCAGAGAACTATTTGAAGCCCCTGAAAGCTGTCTTCACTTTTTTGTATGTTCTGTTTTAATCCTTTGATCATTTTAGAAAGTTTTTTTTCCTGCAACGCTGTTGTATGAAAATCACTGTTGGTGCTCAGTTTTTGGAGTGCTACTTTAACGGATCAAGCACTCCAGTGTATTTAGCAGAGGTGTAGGTAGTTTGTAGATCCTGAATATGCAGAAGCAGAACACTTTGTATTTAAGAAACTACACTTCAAAAACGTAAATGCCTAAGAAAGAGTGGCTACATTGCCAGACTCAAAAGAGAGGTTTGGGTCTTTTTGGTGTATTTGGACTCATGCCCCTGTTTAAGTACTATGCTTGTTCTGCCTAAGCACTATTCCATAGTAACCTGTGTTTTGTGTTTCTGACCAACCTTTTAAGAATTCCTTCAGAGGAAACAGGGTCATAGTTATTCATGCAATAAATATGCAGATGTAAGCATCAAAGTCTGGATCTTTTTTCAGAGCTGAACTGCAACTGACACAACTACAAAGAGAATATGCTGAGTTACAGGAAAAGAAATCTTCCTTGAGGCATACAGTTGAATTAATTACTGATTTAAAGGAGCTACAGCAAGACTGTTTGGATTATAGAGAAGAAAACCCAAAAGAAAAAGTGGTAGTAAGTACATATTCTGCATGTGTTTCAGGTTTTTTAAGTGTTTTTATTTTAATTTATGACATTTGTTTATTAACATCTCTTAGGTAGCAGTGTTTTGTTAACTGTCTTTGTGGAAGCAGCTTGAGAATCACTGCTGAACTTTACTGTAGTATCTCACTTGTTTTTTTGGTCTCATATTAGAAGCTGAAGTATTTCAGAGAAAATTCTGCTGTCTTGCTCTCAGTATCCAGGCATTCAAAGGACATAGAAATGAAACAGTTGTCCTTAGTTGTAACTTTAGAGGAAAAGTGATCTTTCCAAGAGTTAAAAATGTTGTCTTTTATTTCCTTATCAACAGTATGGAACTTCCAGCCTCCCTGCTCTTCTGGTGGAGTCTCGGAGAATTCTAGGAGCAGAAAGGCACTTTGAGAGTATCAATATGAAATTGGAAGAGGCTCTGGCTGTACAAAAAGAGCAGAAATCAAAGAAAAATTAAGTGTCTTTTTAAGACTTTCAGACATTCAGTAGGAACAGTTATTAGAGTTGTCAGTGCTTAAAGCTTGTTTAATCATTGTTACTCTATTTTGTTTCAGTGTTTAAAAGAAGTCAACAACTTAGAGATTGTATCTTTTTATTGTCAAATAGTCTCAGACTATCAATGAAAGGAAATGTGATCACAGTTAATAAAACTTTTCTGTACTCTGAACAATGCTGAGTGTTAATCTTGTCCTATTAAAGTAATCTTGAGAGGAATATATTCATAAAGAGAACACAGACTCTGGTTCAACAAAGATGAATAAACAAATCTTTTTATTAAATTTGCATTTGAAATAAATTATTTAATCTCGTTTATGGAAATAAAAAGTCTGTTTTGTTGGCTTCTCAATAAAACTTGGACATACAACTAACAAAACAGAAAGTGTACAGCAAAGAGCATTAAAAGTGCTAAGCTTGGAGCAGCATTCATAATGAGTATTTCAGTCCAGTTCTCTTCAGCCTCCATGTGATCTTCCATGATCTCCTCGTGCCTGCTGAAGTTCACCCAGGCACTCCATTCTTCGTCTTGCAGCTCTGGAGTGGTGCTTGGAACCACCCCGCAGGACCTTTCACACCAGCATGTGACACACACGTGTCCTTCACTGCTGGCCAGGCCTGCGCTTAGCTGCCTTCTTTAGTGTAGAGGTCTTCTTTCCTTAAAGCTTCCAGAAGAACTTCATCTGGGATTTCTTCCATGGCATAATTCAGCCTGTCATCTGCAGCTTCAGCTAGTTCCACGTCTTCAGCAGCTTCTAGGAAACAGGCATCGTCACTTGCGTTTTCCCACTCACTGTCTGACAACAGGAAGTCTTGAGACCAGCTGTCCTCTGGCGATGCTGAGCTTTTGGACAAGTCTGACACATTAGAATGTGGATTTACTTTTCCTTCTGTGTGCCCCCTGTCATCCATTAGCATGGACTCTTCTTCCTTTGGGAAACAAAACCACTACTTATTTCATATGCAAATATTCTTGATGCCTTCAGCTGCTCTGCAAGTCTGAAGTTTGTGCTGTCACAGAATGGACACAGCAGAAAGCTGGCCAACACGACGACGTTTTCAGCATATTCATATATAGCCACCTTAACCTGTGGAAGTTTATTTTAATAGGAGTAGAAACCCACTGTTTTACTAGCACCCTACAAGTAGCCTGTTGAATACAGCTTCATAAAATAATACAAGGTTAAGTGTCTGTTCAAAGATACTGTCAGGACCTGAAAACACAAATTACACTTTCTGAAAAATAATAGCTACTGATGAGCTGCTTGAGTAGAGCTTCACATGCCATTCTGCTGTATGATGTTTAGAGCTGTACAGTTAAATTTAAAAGTTGAAAAAATACCGATTCTTATTGCCTAAGCAGTGGAAAAACTTGTCTGTTCAGGGTGTAGAGTCTAGGTGCAGGATCAGGTCAGTTTAAATATTCTGCCTGCTTGGGGAAACGTGCTGCACTGGTACACTGAAATGGAGATAATTTCAGAAATGAGGGGCACTGGCTTACATTTGACTCTGACTGACTGAAGCGTTCCAGAACCAGTTCTGTTTTACCTTGCATGAAGTCAGACACGCACAGCAGAGCTAAACTTGGGCAGTTTTTCTGTTCTGCACCTGGAGTGGCCTTGTGACTTAGACATTGGGAACTGCTGTTCTCACCAGAACAGCAAGTCTTTAGTCCCAGGTGAAGTTACACAATTCCAGTAATTTAGCATTGCCGGAGAACTTAAAAATGAATATATGGAGCTACCACACCAGCACAGCTGCTCTGGGAACCTCTTCTCTACCACTGTAACTCCACTGTGTGGAGCCCTCCCAGTAGACTGGGATGTTAGTGGGAATGTCCAGGGTCTTCCAGGGCCTCATAAGAACTTAAGCATCTCAACAGGACAAAAACATACCTCTTTGAAAAGAGCTGGGAGGCATATCCCAGGCGGCAGTGGAAAACCTAAATCAAATATAAGACATTAATTAAAGTTAACATTCCAAAATGTATTAAGTATAATTGAGATCACAGGCTACATACTTTGTGATTTGAAGTTTTGTTCTCTGCAGACAGGATCGTGACACTTTTGATACCAGACTTCATTCTTTAGATCTACCAGAATCCTAAGAATGAAATTATTTAGATTTTTAGTAACAGTACATAAATGAAGTGAATTCATATGGTAGGAAACTAACACTAAATGAACAGGTCTTGTTTGTCCTCAGCTGTGGACATTGCTTTCATATTCCTGGCATACTTAGTGCATACTTGTATTGTACAATTTTTAGTAAACTTCAGGTTTCATAAGTTTAAAGAAATAAATTTTTAAGACTAACATCCGAAAGTGAAATTTAGTCAATTTAATTACACTAAGCTTTGAAGAGAAAGTCATCAAATTAAGATTACCATATGAGACTTAACTGTAAGATAAGATTTTGCTGCTGCTGCTGGTACAGATAATTTCATTATAAAAGCCACATAAAATCACTATTTTCTGTCAACTGATTAAGCCACCCAGCTTTTTCAACTGTGCTTTAGAAACACTAAACTTCAAGCAACTCACTTGAGAAACAGCAAGTTCATCCAGCTGTGGGGTTTTTTGAATATCCTTGTTTCTCAGAAACACATTCCTTATGTTTCAGTGATTTTAAATGTTACATAAATTATTTCTAAGTTAAAATATTTACAGTAATGATATATTGTAATTCTAATATAATTAAAAATATAATCTAGAGTTTCCATCATTTATTTTGCTAAAACTATAGGAAGTCTGAGTCCTTGCAGAGTCACTAGCAAAACTCATCTTGATTCATGTGGCAGGAATTACCATTCTAAAATGGCAATTCTTAATTATTAAAAGGACAGAGTCATTTTAGTAACATAAGAATGTAATTTAAGATGCACTGTAAATTAATTCAAAAGCAGTCCGCTTGCTTTCTTATTTTTCAGCTTCCTAGCTGGGAAGTATCAAAACACAGTACTGCAGAATAGCTTTAACATACTCTGTGTTAGCATCTTTGGACCCATATTTTAAATACCAGGAAGATTACTTCACAGAATTACTAGAAATAAAAGTCCAGTTGTCACAAAGTAAACTTGGGGAGGGGATAAATAGTTTCTTTGGTTTTGTGGGGTTTTTTTTGTAATTAAAACATTGTATCCCCACAGAGCAAGACAGCAGAAGTTGTAACAGTTGCTGATTCTACCCATAAGAGTTTTTTTGGCATTTCTAGAGAATAACAGTTGAACAGGAAAATAAATAAAGCTGTTTTAAACTGAATAGTTAAAGAACATACATTATATTGTTACTTTTGTGAGCCCTTCCGATATTTTCACACCAACGGTAACCAGAAATATCATAAATAAGTAGTTCTTTGAGAGAGAAGTAACTCCATTGTCGTATCCCTGAGGGAAAAAAAAATTAATTATTTAAATTCTTTGTAAACAGTGCTGCAGAAGACTCATTTGTAAACAGTAAGGTGGTCTCTTTACCTCCTCGTAGCCCATCTTTATTAACCAAAGAACGAACAAAATTATCAATTTCTGGATATGGCGAACCCTGGTAACCCTCCATGGGATCTGTTAAACCAAAGGCCACAAACACACACGGTTAGAGGGTTTGCCACTGTAATATGCCATTGTAACACACACACTTTATGCAGACCACAGGCAGAAAATGTACATGAATCACATCACACTCTTAAATCAAACCAGAGATAAAGCCACTGTTACTTTCTTGTAGGTCTTTAAAGTGCCACCCCCACCCCCAAGGTGCAGAGGGAGCTGGGACAAAGCAAGACAGCTGTGGGTACAGGAGGGAGGGTCAGTGGCACTCCGGTGCTGCAGAGCATCCTTCAGTGCAGATGTACTCTGCCTCCTGCAGAAGAAGGGCCCTCCTAGAAATTACCAGGTGTACAAATCACAAAACACCTACAATAAGAGTGGTTTTTTCTATGCAGTAGAAAAGGCTTGAGGTACCTCTGCTGCTTCTGGTAGTTTTACTGTTTAAAAAAGCAGACATTTTTCTCTCCTCCTCTGAAAAGCCAGATGACAGAACTTTTAAGTCATCCCTCACTCTAAAGAAAAGGGAGAATACAAAGAGTAAGTTTCTTACAGCATAACACAGTACAATAAAACTCCCTGTAACATCCCACAGGACACAGCCCTGGGCCCAGGGGTGGGCCAGGAGACCTCCAGGGGTCCCTGCCAACCCTGACCAGCCTGTGATTCACTGTGCACCTTTCCCTGTTCCTGGAGCACTTTCCCTTCTGGCCTTGGCAGTTTCCCTGGCCCCCACCCCAGGACAGGGGTTCCTCCTCCCCAGCAGCAACATTTGGTTCCTGGCCAGAGTCCCAGGACCCACCCATTTAAGGACTGCTGGTCCACACTCCTACAGCAGGAGTATATATCCTACAGATGTAGTATTTATGCAAATATACCCTTTGTAAGGTTTCATTTTTTTTTCCTCTCTACAATGAACTGTTTTTCCTTGCCATATTGCTAACTGGAAGCCAGATGATAACAGAAGTCTAAATTCAACACAGCAGAATTTCTCATCCATATTTATGGTGGATTCAACTGATGCCTATGATCTGAATACACTGTGTGGTTTACTGGCACCAGTTCAGGATAATGAACATGTCAGGATTTAAAACCTGAAGTCAGAACAAATATATGTGTTCAATAAAAATATTAATACTATTTTAACCTTTCTGCTACAGCAATGATTAGGATCTTCTTAAGATAAGGTATGACATATCAGAGGTTTAGATTAGATATAGAACACTTGATTATTGTCTGTATAAGTACCCAGCCTACAGAGGGGTGTGCATCAAATGGGAAATCTGGTATGCAAAAAACCATGGACAGAAACCCTTTGTATTTCTTATCCTACTTTGAAAAATATTCCACCTTCTTATATTTAACTGACTAGAAATCTGTTAAGTTTTGCTTCCAGAACTACACAGAATCTGACCAAACTTAATCACGGTTATGTTTTGGTATTTTGATTTTGCATAGAGAAATGAGGCACAATTCAGAGGCTGTAACAGATCTGAAGGCAGGTTTAACAAAAGAAAAGCACTCCCAAGAATTTTTTTTTTCTTCAAAACCATGAAATTCTACTAGGAACTCCTAAATTACACTGTAACAATGTTAATTAAATAATTGCTTATTCATAACAGTTATTTGTAACTGCTACAGGAGAATTATCATTAAAACAGATATTTAAAAATACTGTACATTTGACTGGAATTAAGTAATTACCCAATGTTGCAGATTAAAGAGGAAAGAAAATAAGCTTCTTCCAAGGAAACATCCTTTTCACAGCTGGGGATAAACTTATTATCCTCTGCTATCTTCAGAATCACATTTTTTCCTGCTTTTGATGACTTATACATCCGGAAATTTCTATTCTTTGTATAAACTCCTACAGGAAAACAGATATTTCTTAACACGGCAGTGCTGGCTGGGAATTAACATACTGAGCACTTGTAAATTAAACAATTTTCCTTAGGCCCAGCTAGGAGTCTAACGGATGGACAAACACTGTTACTGACTGGCTCACATCCCACAGAAGAAAAGCAACAAAGCATGATCATGCACACGTGTACACTTGTCTGTTACAGACTAATTAAGACAAATGCTCAATACTTCTGCATAGGCTTTTTAATCATTCTGACATTATAATTGTTAAAAGTTCCCCTTCAGTACAAGAAACTGGTTCTTTCACAATAACTTTGTGAAATACAACTAAGCCCAAAAAGCTGCACAATTTTTTTAACCAGAAATAACTTAATCAAATTTTCTGTTTTCTGTGGACTGCTTGACAGCTTTTCTGAGGCATGTATCAGGAAAGCTTAATTCCAATCTCAAAAACAAACCACAAAACAACAATCAGGCATCTTAACATTGCAAAATCTATCTAATAATTGATTGAGAAGGTGAGTTTTATTAGCAGGCTGCATTTGACTTTCATTAAGAGAAAAGCACTTACAGAGCTCACACAAGAAGAACATTACAAAACTTTCTGTCACTGCAGCCTCATGATATAATTCAGTAGTTCAGCAATTTTGATTTTAGCTTTCCAATTCTAAGGTAATGTGTATAACATAAATACTGAGGATGGTTAATTATGGGAAACTAACATCAAATTCTTAAAAAGTGAGACAGGAAACAAATTGTTTTGTTTTAAATTCCATTTACAAATATGCTTGAAAGAATTTTGAACAGTAGGTGAAAGTAACCCCTCTGACTCAGTAACAGAGAAGCCTACTGTAGCCAGCTTTGGGATTACATTTCAGTAGATCAGACATACTGAAGAGGCCCACAATAAAAGTGATCCTGAATTCCATGAGAAGAATTTGAAGGAATGGAGGTTCTTCAGAAGAGTCTGAAGAAAAAACCCAAGGTGAAGTCCTGAAATGTGTAACACACTGCTGTGCAAAAGCATGCTAAGCTATTTTCATTTCCCTGAGATAAGGCCAAAAGGAAAAAAAAAAGGTATGGAGTTAAAGAAGGGTGGAACTTTCAAAGTCTAGTTTGACTATGGGAGTTGTGCTCCTGGAGATTTGTAACATTTTAACACCATGAACAGCCCATGCCCAGCTGGGCCATGCCCAATCCAAAATTTCTGTTATTTCACCACTGAAAGCTAACAGCTGCCATTCCAGACAGGGAAAGAAGGCTCAATTCATACATGTAGAATAATATAGAAAGCCATGCCTGTAAGACTTGTTCCTTTATTAAGCAGCTTCTAATTCAACTGAAATAACAAAAATGCAATATATGCTATCCTCTTTCAACACAAATGGGAACACTAAGCCCTTAAGGGGAGAAAAAAATTAGTCTTTTGTGGAAAGAATTACTTTAAACTTCAGAACAAAATAATTAAATGTAGTAATATAAGAAGTTCCCTAGACCATGAATCTAAGGCTCCTTTAAAGCACAGCACTTACAATGACAGTTCCAGCATGTATTTAAAGTCTGACCATAGGGACAACAGTAATCAAAAATTAAGGAACATTTCATTCTTAACCTTTGCTGCATCCCAAAGGGGTTTAAAAACACTTAGACTTACCTAGATCCACAAAAAGCTGCCTGTTCCCTTCTTTATCCTTTACTATTAGGAAGGAAAAATCCAAGTTTTCTCCCTGGTGTGGCATTTCCACATCCTTTGTTTCATGAGCAATGGCTGGCCTGTCTTTAGAATCATCTTCAACAGCTGTGAGGTTTCTAAGAGAACCATCTAATCCAGTTCCTGCAGAACACTGCAAAACATTCCCTGCTTCTTCAGCTGGAATCACAGCAGCCCTATTCTCCATTAATCTTATGGCAGGCTGCAAAATGGTTCTCACAAAGTTACCTTAAAAACAACCAAAGAAGGCCAAAAGCAGGAGACATCATTTATGAGTCAAGAAAGTACTTAGAGAGTTTCTGTGCAAACATTTTTCAAAACAGAGAGCTTCTGTGCAAACATTTTTCAAAACAAGATGGAAGTTGTTGAAATTCAGGGTTTTTTTCGCCCTTCTGGATTTTTAAAAAGAAATCTTTTGACCAAGCCCACTGTATAAAATGGCTAGTGACTGAGAAACCAATGCCTCACAAGAAATTGTACTAAATGTCTTTTAAAAAACCCAAAACCCTAAATACTAACAAGCTCAGATTTAGGATTCTTAAAAGGTTGTGATTGTCCCCTCACTACTGCTTTCCCTAATTGCACTTTCAGAATGATTGAAATGTTTAGTTGCAGCTTCACGGTGTATTTACTGATATAAGAGCTTGACCAAAGCTTACTCAAACAAGAAATTACTTTTACAGAAGTATTTTCTAATGACTTTTCAAACTCCAATATTGTAATTCAACTCCCATTGTAACTCCAGGCTCTGCTAGATGGTAACCAAAGACAGACAAATAAAACCATGGCCAAATTAGTTCTAATGAGAAAGCATGATAAGATAATAAATACAGATGTGGGGAAAAAACTATGAAGTGGAAGGAATACTGGCAAGGATGATTCTGCACTTGTTGGATGAAGCTTCCATGGGGAACGTGAATGAATATGAAATACTGTTCCTCCCATGCTACTTATCAGCAGAATGACTCAGCATATCAAGCATCAAAATCATCATCCTCATCATTCATTACAGGACTACTGGGGCACACAAATGAGTCAAGACAACCCCAAACTGGCAATTCTCTGTGTTGGAGTTGCCATATCTGAGAAATCCCAACTTATATGAACAATTAAAATGGCTTTCAGCTTTCTCTTAAGCATGTTTATGCACAGGTGGCTTGAAATCATATTTGCCCTGCCTTTTTGACAATGTGCTGAGCAGAAATTAACTGTATTTAGAGCAAAAACCAGCAGCTTGAATTGTTAAGACTGACATTAATCTGAAAATTAAGGAGCCATAGACTTTTCAGTTTCATAGAAATCAGTATTTTTGTAAATAAAACATGCATGCACAAAAAAAGTTATAGTTTTGTAAACACATGCTAATTATAGGAAAAGAAAATAGAAGATGAGAAAAAAAATGAGGCTTAATTAAATAGAAAGTAATTATGTGTATGCTAGGAATACATATTTGTTTCCACATATAAATCCATTAAAATAAATGCTCATATGGGAGATGGCACTGTATAAACTCAAAACCTCACCTTTTATTTCTAGGTGTAAGAGAAAAAGAACACACTTACCAATATGAGTGTTGTCCTTAAATACAGTCTTTTGGGGTAGAAATATTAAGTGCCGACTAAATTTTTCATCAGTGCTGGAATCCAAGTTCAAGACATCTTCTGATGAACAATTTACATCATAAAATTCTTTTAATTTTTGGCTGACAAGCTGAAATTATAAACATTAATTATGTTGTTTTACTCTAGTAGTTGTATCTACAAAACCTAACACAAGTTCAGATTCTACATTTTTCTCAAGTTCTTTTTTTTTTCCTCAGTTTGAACATACAAATAATGTAATTCAAACCAACCCATATCAAGTTTTAACCAAGTTTGACATAGACTTTATTTCCTTAAATAAGCAAGTCACTTAACACTTAACTAACAGTGATAAGCTGAAAAGACTTCCAGTTTCTCAGGTCAAAGTCTGGCTAGGAGGCTTTACCCTGCAGGCTGTTTTGCACCACAAAGCAGTTCACACCCGCAGTGACAATGTTTGCCATGCAGACTCACCACGAGTGGAAGACGAGGCTGTCATGGTACACAGGACTGGTGAGCTAATTCACTGTGATGATTTAGCTAATTCATGGGTTCCACCCAATGAACAGTAACTAAGCAGAAAACAGATTTCACTCTAAATTAGCTTTAAAAAAACCCCTTTTATAAACCAAGGTAGTGATTACTCATGTTTAGGACTGGGACTCAGAACTAAAGATCTGGAAGCTTTGGGTTTTAGCAGCTCAGATCCCCCACCCAGCAAATCCAAAACCCTCTTCTTAACCTGAGGAATCTACATTTCAGAGCTGATCCACAATGCATAAACCCCTCCAGATTCTGTATCAATGAAGGGTTCTTTGTGAAGGAATTACCTCAATAATCTTTTACTTTTGTTCACTTCTAGCTAGAGACATGTAGGTGACAGAAGTCTCACAGACATCCACTCACAATGAGATCTTATTAAAACAGAAGATATTCTTCTAAAAACATATGAATGGCATATTGAACTTGCAGAGAGTTCATTTACAAAAAAAAAAAAAAAAACTGCAATAAAATGGAAACTGCACTATTTCATAAAATTGATAATTAGTAAAGGTATTTAATTTTAGATAAAAAAATTGGTAAGTGCAGCCACATGATGCTCTCTACATCATCATTTAACTAAATTATAATGAACTGTCATCTAAAGAAACTTTCAGGAGAGATTTATCTAAGCCTTAATATACACCTGCAGCATTAGGCAAGGGGAATGAACTGAGGAATATATGAATGGAACTTTTATTGAGGTATTTATTGATTTAAAGAGTACCTAAACATTCCTTCAGTTTTACAGCTTTGAAGTGGCAGAGCACATGACACAACCTTCAAAAGTAAACCTACCATGTCAGTAAACCTACCATGAATGCAAACAGTCCAACAGCCATCATTCTTTATTTTTGTCTCTCAATTAAATTTTTTGTCTCACACTTAGATTAAACCCTTGCTTTAATTAAAACAGTATTTTTACTTACTTAAAAATAATCACTGGGTCTGCAATTCTTTTAATTGTACTATAGCATAATCAATATAAAGTGGTAAATTGGTTTCATATTAAATTCATAATAAATTCATATTCATCTACAGCATGACTTTGCTCCAGTTTACCTCAATTAACTTCATGACCATACTCTTGCCATCTGCATCAGGATTTGCTGGTTTGTAAAACTCCAAATCAAAATAAAGTTTGCAAGCATCTTTTTCAGGAATTACTTCATAGCAATGCATAAGACTTGTTTTGCAACCTTGGCTAAGGAAAAACAAAAACAAATCACAACTTCTCATGATAAACATTATGAGCATCATAAACATGCTTATCAGTTGCAAACAAGGATCCCACATATTTTATTCTGCAATCAACCATCCATATTAAAAAAATGTAGCAGCCCTATAATGCTTTGAAAAATTTGTAACTAACATCAGCATCAAGTATCAGCAAAGATTGTCTGGCCCATAATTTAATTTTGTAGAGTACTCTCCTCTCCATGCCCCCCCCAGTCTTACAATACATACAGAAATGTTGAGAATTCAAGGAAATATGAAAACTACAGTAAAAAACTTAAGTTATCATTCATAGGTCTATAGCACAAACAAAGAGATTATATGGAGTTTTTTCTAACTAAATTAAAAAATAATCCCACCGTCAGTTTCAGAAAAAAAATCAGGCTTTATGTATTAAATTTGACTCAGACTTCTTTCACTTCATAGCCAAATGTTTTATTGTAAAAGAAACAAATGGGGGAAAAGTTCAGTTCATGACTGAATTGTCAATACTTGGAACTACATCAGGCAAATGCAAACCCATAAATCAGTTTCCAGACATCTGCATTAACGCCCACTGAAACTGGTGTATGACTAGTCAGAGAAGTATGTTTTTGTCATGTGTTGGTATGATCCCCTGAGGAAAGCTGACAGCAAGAGCAAAATCTACTGTTAATAAATTTCAGCTCAACAGACAGAGTACTTAATCCACAGGAAATAATGGCAACCTGCTACTCAAAAGAAAGTTAAAACCCACTACAGAATATATTGCTTTGTCCTTGTGAAGATTTTTCCCACTGCCAAGAAGAATCCTCAGGTAACCCATTACAGCTCCGTGCCACTCAGAGCAGCAGATGGCTTCTGGGAATACCTATCCACTGCTAGCTCCTACTAGGTAGGATAGCCAGTATACCCTAACTTTTACTAACATACAGGGCACCTTCTCAAATACTCACGTGTAATAAAACCAAAGCTCTTCATATGTTGTCACAAGGTAAAACCTCTGTCCACTCTGTGTGTTCTTTTCCAAAGCAAACACATGAACATCCTTTCCAAATAAAAAATTGAATGTTTTTTGTTAGTTTTATTCAAACAGTTCAAAAAAAGTCTTCCTAAGTTCCTACTTGGCAACAATTAAAGGTTAATAAATACTAGAGAACTATAAACAGATCACTTATCCTTTTCCACATTCAGTAGCATCTAGTTTTAATTTAGAACATCATTCTGATTTCAGTTACATGGGTACACTTTGAAGCTTTTCTTTGCTGTGCAGTAATGAAAACTATTTCCTCTGTAAACTCTTGGTTTTTTCTGATCAATATCAAGTGCATCTAAAGCGAGGAGGAACCATGTCCTGAAAGGAGCAGCCTCATGGATATGATGACAGTATAAGCTTTATGGGCAAATATTCTTCAGACATTATGTTGTTTAGATCCAAAAATGGAAATCTGAGAAGAAAATAGAAAAAAACTACTGCCAAGCCAATGAGAACCCATTTTGGAAAACAGGCTGCCAGGATTACTTAAATACCTGAAACAGGTATGGAGAAAAACTCAATACTTTCTTTAAAAACAGCAATCAATTTAAAAAGTGTTAAACTGAAAAGAGAGGATACCTTTCACACAATATTTATTTGGCTAATCACTTCCAATCATCTGAACTTGCTACTCAGATGCCACTGGAGAGTTCTTGTGTTTTTATTTAGTCTCTGCCTCTTCTTTGTCTCTTTTTCTTCCTCATTTTTTTCCTCTTCTTTTTTCCTACTCAATTCTCACTACCTCCCCATTCTCCTGCCCACCCTGACAGCTTGGTCATCTTGAGAAGGAGCAAATTTGTCACTACAATGTTCCCAAAAAGAACTTTCACTTCAAAGTTAACACCACATTTCAACTTGTATGTTAGAACAGAACTTAGAGATACCTCCAGTGCAACGTGACCTACAAAGACAAAAAAAACCAAACTTGCTCTTTCAGGATTGGGAAGAAAAATATCTTGCAAACTGATAAAGACTTCACTACCTAACAGCAATTTTAAATGATGTTCAATCTTGAAAGTATAAAAAGAGTAGAGACATTTCCCTGACACATAATATACCTCTTCGCAGGATTTTACATAATTAAAAGCTTCAGCCTGTCGAGAAAATATTTTCCAAACAGAGGATGGCATAGAGGGTTTGGACAGTCTTGGTCTATAAACTGTAGGAAGAGGATTTCTTTCATAGTGAGATGCTAGCTCTTCCACCTTCTTCAGTCTTTCTTGCCATTGTCTCTTCATTTCTCCTAAAGCAATTACAGATAGTCAAATCAGTATTAATCCGTTTGCAAGGCAATTTTAATTTGGATATATCCTGTACTCCTCACTGCTTTTGATTCTGGTTTTGTTGAATGTAATTTATTAATTAACTGGGAGTAGCCAATATTCCAAATTAACACCCAACCTTGCTATGATACTCATTTTAATATTAAATGTCTTTACACTGTTTTGGAAGTACAAGAGCTTCATATTAACACTATCAAAGGTAAACACAACAGAATAAAGACACAGAAAGGAGGCCCAGGAATTTTCATTTTTGTCTACAGAATGGTATTACACTCCTCAGAAAATATACAAACTGTTGACTAGGCACACAACATCAGTAAAGAGTAAAAAAATACTAAGAGTAAAAGTAAAAAAAAATACTGAGAGTAAAAAAATATTTTTCCTTTATGGTTGGGGAGACAAAAGAGATAATTAATTTGTATGGCTAGGACAATATTTGAGTTCATAGGAGGAGTTAAGACTTCAGTGACTTCAGCTCTGAGCTCTGTATCTTGAAGCAAAAGAACTAAAATCCAAAATGAGAGCTCTGTTCTCCACTGCTGACCTTTGCTATTGATCACTCATACTTTCACCTGCTTTAAAAGCTCATATATTTTTCAGAACCTTAAAACAGCAATCTTATCTCTTTTCAAGAAATAGAACCATGCAGTAACTCTTGCTATCTTGCAACCTTTAAGCTTCTAGATCCATAAAGTAATCCAAATGCTGCAGAGTAATGTAGTAAAGCATAAACACACATATGTACAATTATCTGTAACTGGAACACCTGCAAATCAGTAAAAAGCACTGCCAGGAAACTGTGAAACAGAGGAAGAGAGGCAAGAAGTAACAAACATGAAAGGAAATCTTGTTCTGCCCAGCATAACCACTTGGTTCTCCTAACAGCTCCTGGGTTGCAGTGAAAGATAAAAATGAAATTGAGCATACTCAAAAGTATCCAAACAAGCTAGATTCACAGGGCGAATTTCAGTATTTAAATATTCTTGTGGAGCCTCAAAGCCCAAATTTTAGATCCTCTCATTTCCCCCTCCAAGTTTTCCACAGCAGAAGTTCCTGGACACTTACATTTCTGCCCACTGTTCTAAGCCTGCCAATGTCTTGATAGTCAGTGCCTGCATCAAGTCTAAAAACAGAATGTTTTTTCTCTAGCAGGGGTCAAACATATTACCTCTATCCCCCTTGTCCATCTTCTGACCTGTGCATTTTCTTCACTCCTTTTTTGTGCTCTTAGTTTCTTCTCTGGGAATGAAAAGTTATAGATAGCAATCAGCATTTCTCAGAAGTGCTAACAAAACTTTCAGTTTCATTTTGATGTTGCTGGCTGTAAATTAACTGGGTGCAAAAGACACCCCTACATCAGCATTTTTCCACAAGATGACCATTATAAAAGGAAAGTGAAGCAGAAAACCCATAATTCTTTATTAATTTTAAACTTTCTAATTATATCAGGCTGTATTTTTGCAGAAACACAGCTGGGAGGATACCTGAACCTGAGAGAAGGGTGATGACCCTTACTTTAAACTGAAACCTATCATGGTTCTTGCAGTCCAAACACCTGGTCTCTCAAGAGTCCAACATGTCAAGTCCTTTCAAGGCAATTTCAATTCCTGTGTGAACCATACCACAACACATCTATTTAGAGCACATACAAGCAACACTTACGGACCAGCCTTCTGAGTTCACTGGGAAAATCTCATTTCAGCGTCCCTTCTTACATCCCACCAGAAATAAAGGCAGTACTTATTTTTGTTTGACTTGACTGAAAGAAATTTTGTCACCAACATGTTTGGACTTCAGTGTTAGTGACTCAGCAGGATGACTACATGGGTAGTCTGGAAAAATGTCTCCTGAGCAATGACTTAAAGAGCTTGCTATTTCATTTTCTCTATTTTATGGAAGACTTCTTCTCCCTTTACCTCTCATGATAACGACAAAACATATTACCCACACCTGCTGACAACTGCAGCTGAGACATGCAAATCACCTGCTACTCAAAATAACACTACACTTATTTCCTGGCTGGTGTGTATCATGCAACATAATTCTACAGCAGAATTCATGGTTCGTCCTTGACACAAATAAATCCATGAGATTTTCTCCCAGCTACTGATTCAGCCTAAGAAGAACACATTAAATTCCTTAACATTAGTGAAAATTAGCTTAGCTATCCCTACCTTGAGCTGACAAGTGGCATATTAACAGACACTACTCATCTTCCCAACAACAACTGTTTATCTTGCCCTCCTGATAGAGGAAGTGCCCTCTACAGTTACAGGATCACGGAATGGCTCAGGCTGGAAGGGACCACAGTGCATCACCTGGTCCTACCTCCCTGCTCAAGCAGGGTCATCCTAGAGCACATGGCACAGGACTGTGTCCAGTCAGTTCCTGAGTATCTCCGGTGGAGGAGACTTCACAACCCCTCTGGACAACCTGTTCCCCAAATTAAGACTGCAAGTGCAGAACTCACTACGTCAGACCTGGGGATAAGACCTGAAAAAGTAGGTTAGTACCTCTTAGGAGAAGCTGGAATACACAGCTTCCAATGTTATCTGACTTCTGCTACTGAAGGTCAATGTACAAATATGAAACTAACTGACCTGAAAGTTGATGATGAAGCCAAAATCAGCCCTCAGTGTCAGAGCGCTGTTGCGCAAGGCAGGTCTGTGGGCAGCCAGGGACAGTCACCACAGAGGTGGGCAAAAACCCTGTCCAAGAGAAGGTCCTGCCGTGGTACAGGCAGATCACCCACAGGGATCTCACTCACTGAGGTCATGAGAGGGGCTGCTCATTTAGTAATTGTCCCCACAGATTACTCTAAGTGGCCACTTCCTTTACAAACCACCATTCTTTCAGAATCACAGAATGTTCTGAGTTGGAAGGATCATCTCTAATCCAACTCCCAGCACTGCACACGACCACCTCCAAAAGTCACCATATACACCACGCACCTAACAATGCTGTCTTGAGCAATGCTTCTGGATCTCTGTCAGGTTGGTGCTGTGCCCTCTTCCCTGGGGAGCCTGTTCCAGTGCCCAAACACCCTCTGGGTGAAGAGCCTTTCCCCAATACCCAGCTTAAACCACTCCTGACACACCCTTCTCCATCCTCATGGTGCCCAAAACTGCACACAGCATTTAATATGAGGCTGCACCAACATAGTATAAACGTACCAGAACGGCACATTTGTTTCAGCAGGCATAGGAACTCAAACAACAGCGAAACCCGACAAGGTTTGGGTTACACCATTCACACCGAAGAGCAGCAAGGCCAGCCGGACCCGGCTCAGAGCCCGCAGGGCGCGGTAGCTCAGTGCTCCGCCATAGGGCCCAGCCCGGCGAGCGGAGCGGAGCGGAGCAGCCACCCCTCAGCCCGGCCTCGCACGGCTCGCTCCGCGCCGGGAGGCCCGCCCGGCCGGGCCCGCCTCGCTCGGGCCGCTCCCGCCACACCGACTCACTCACCGCCGGCGCGCGCTCCCCGCCGCCATTGGAGCGGCTGCCCGCCCTGCGCGGGGCGGGGCCGGCGGGCCGGGCAGCGGCGGGGCTTTCTCGGCGCCGAGCAGCGCTCCGCTAAGCCAGGCTCGGGAAGACGCAGGTCAGAGCGCAGCGAGCAGGCGGTGAGGCCGGTGGGTGACGGCGGTGCCGGGATGCGGGTGCGGCGGCGGCGCTGCCGAATAAAGCGGGGCGGTGGGGTGGACCAGGCTGTGGCTCTCCAGGCCCGCGTGGCCGCCCGCATCTCTCCCGGAGGAAGTCGGCTGCGGGGAGCAGGAGCGGAGCCGCGTTCCGCCTGGGGCGGGCCCGGCTGAGAGAGCCGCTCCCCCAGCTGCCCGCGGGGCTCCCGGCCCCGCAGGCCCGGCGGTCGCTCTGTCGGTGGTGGGCGCGGATGAGCCCCGGCCTTGGCTGCGGGCCCGGCGGGAGAGGCGGCCGCGGTGCCATCCCAGCGCCGCCGCTCCCCCTGCCCGGGGGCAGAGCGCGGGCCGCGGGTGTTAGCTGTCCAGAAGCCTGAGGTAGCTAGTTTGTTCCCTTTCAGCCTGTCTCTGTGGAGAAGCTGTTGAAACAGAGGGCAGAAAGAAGGAAAAGAAAAGAAAGGCGCTGTAATCCTGAGCTGCTCTCTGGTGACCCTCGGGAGACCATTAACCGGAAACGCGGGGTCAAAGCTGTGTTTGGATCTTCCAAAACAAAGCGCGCTGAGCCTCGTCTGTGCCGAGGAAAAGCGTGCTTGGGGTCCTGCAGGCGCTGTGGCTAACTTGTGATAAAGCGTGTAAAAGGCCCTGCCCGAGGTGTGTTGTGCCCTGCCTGTTCCTTGCTGGGCTGAAGGATAGGGCTGGCCGTCTGTAGTCTTTCACCCTGTAACTCACAGTTCTTCCTTCAGGTATCTGCTTGTGGGTTTCAAACTAACACGCCGTGCCCTTCGTGTTAAAGAACCTGATATGGCTGCTGCTTATAGCGGCGGTGATGTGATTAATAGCTACAGGTGAATTAATAACTCAAGGGTCTGAGCTGTACTCGGAGTAATTCAGCTGATTTTACAGCTTCATGCTGAGTACCCAAAAGTCTGTTTGTTTTGGAAGATCAGAATGCCGGCCCAGTGTCAGGGTTTTCCAGCAACTGCATCCAGACCAGAAGCAATGGGAAGAGCTGTCTCAGCCTTCCATCTGTGGTAGCACTATTTAGTAGGGGGATAGTGCCTCATAGAAAATGTAATGCTATATTTAAAATGTTTTTTGTTTTTTAATATAGTCTGCTTCTATATTTTCCTTCTGTTATTAGTTAGATAATTATTGTTTAGCGTTATACATTGTAGAGGGGAAAATTTTTAATTTGCATGTCTGCATTAGTATCATGATATGGCATGTATATGTTCATGTACAAAAAATACCTTCTTTGAATGCTTGACATTTTCTCTTGCAGTCATGTGATGTGGAAAACTGCCCTTTTCCTATCTTTAAGGAGATGTTTAACATTGCTGATGTCTGTTTTGAACATGTGTTTTAGTAGTGCTATTCTCACTGCTTTGTAGCGACATATATATACTGAACATGTGTTGTCTCCTGTGGTTTGCATATTTCAGGATCCAGTTGGTCAGTAAAGACAGTTTAGTTATTTGCTTTCTCCTGTCTCAGAAGCTTTGGTATTATTTTTATCACTATACCATTCATTTCTGTTGTTTCTTTAAAAAGAAACCTGGTGATTCTTTTGGCAGTGGTGACACATGATGATGTGAATTTATTTTCACTAGATCCAGGTAGAATAAGTAAATCCAGTCTGGAATGGAGTAAAAAGTTGTTTTATTTATTGTTTTCTCTTATCAAAAGAAAAGCATTGGAACAACTGCATTTATGTAGGGGAAAAATATTTTCGCTCTTATTGCTGTACAGAGAGACATTGGTCATTTTTTGGTAGCTTGCAGAGCATAGCATTGGACCTTTTTGAACCATTTTATTTCCTACTACTTAGTATATGTAAAGGTCATTTAGCATCACCTTTGTATTTACTGTCTCTGTCTCATTTTTTTTAATTGTGTTTTTTTCAGATACAATAATATAAAATAAGCTTCCTAAAATCTACAGAATGTATTTTGCTAGATTATAAAAATGCTGTTGTTCTTTTCAAGAACTTGTTTTTTATATTTCCTTATAATTAAAAGCTCGTTTTATCTAAGCTTTCAGAGAAAATAACATCAAAGAGCAGAATAAAAATCTGTAATAAATTTTTAAAGCACTGCCGTGATTTCTTCCCCCCACATCTCCCGCCAGCAGGATGAGATCATCCTCCACAGGGAAATGCATGGCATCACTGCATTACCTAAAGCAAGATGAGGCAATTCTTAGTGGCCTGTTAGAATCAGCACCATCCTCCAGAGAGCACTGCTATTACCCTGATCGCTGCTTTAGAGCACAAAGGACCCTGCCGGCTCAAACACTTGAGTGCTGGCAACAGAAGAGAAATCTCTTTGTGGGTGTCTTTTGTTCTTTAAAGAAGTGCAGGTGACCTGGTGCCTGAGGGTGCTCAGGAATTGATGGATATTAAAAGTGAGTTACAGATTCTGTTCTGAAGGTAAACCATGCACATTTCAAATACTTAACGTGTTACAACCAGTTTTTCTAGACAATCCCTATAGCTTCTGTCGAGTCTCTCAGACAAGCTCCAGTTTGATGAAGTAGACTGCAGGAAGCTCTAACACTTCATTGAACAATTGTAACTGTAGGCTGTGAACTGGGCTTGCAGAGGCCTTAGTAAGAAATATTTTTATGATACAGTATTGCAAGTTGTGTTTTACATTTTTCAGAAAGAAACTAATATCATTTGTTGTAATTGTAGGTTTTGCTAGCTATTTCTTCCAATTTCATTGTTTCTTTGGCGCTGGATCAAGGACAGCAGTTTTACAGCCTTAAAATTTAAGGCTGTTAAAGGGTCAAGGAGATAAGTCTTATTTTGATGTCACTTAAATGTTGATGATCCCTCTTAGTGTTTGCATCCTGCCTAAACATTTATGTTGTAAGAAGCATTCAGTGCTGGCAGGGGTTTGCAGTTTGCTTAGGTGAGGCTGCTGCTGTTCAGCAGTTTGGTTGATGTGAACCCAGGAGAGTCTAATAAGCCCCTTACCCTCCCTCGAGATTCCAAGGGCTCATCTGTTGGCCAGAGAGTGTTAGACTCAGCCAAAGTACAGGGAAAGCTTTCTTGAAGTAGCTCTTGGTAGGTGGCTCATCTGATAAACAGGAGCTAGCCACATCTTATGGAAGCACATATTTACTAGTGTACACTCTCTCCTTCGTGGACTTGCAGCGCTGGCACTGCAGAACTTCACAGTGCCAAACAGCTGGGATCAACACCTGGGGTTTTGCAGAAGTTGATTTCTGTGCTGACATGGCTACACTGCTGTCAGTGCACCTGCTAGCTGGTTTTGATAATAGAGTTGGCACATGATGCTGTGCTTTTTTATATGGTGTGGCTGTTTATTACTGTTGTTAAACAAAGAACAGATGAAGGAAGTTAATCATTTCCCTCTCTTACTAACCCCAGCCACATTGAAGGGTTTGGGTTGTGCTCATGCACCTAGTTCTTCTCCAGAAGGAAGAGTACGAGTGGCATCAGAATGGTGGGCCAGTCTGCTTGGGTGTTTTCCTACAAATTTTGCTCAGGCTGAGAGCTCAGGAAAGCTGAGAACTAAAGCCAAGGATATTGTAGTAGGGATGGTTGAAAAAGTCATAGAAAATCCTGAAGCTGGGCTGTGCTGGAGCAGAACTTACAGCATCCTTGTCAATGAAAGGCATTCTTTCCAATTGCTGCGGATCAGAAGCTTTTTTCTGGCAGTGCTAATGTTCCCTGCTCTCTAGGGTTGGATCACTGTCATGCCACAGGTCGTAGGTATTTGAATTGCCCTTTAGAGCTGCTTGCTGTTTTCTTCCCACAGGGTACTTTTAATGAATTAGACTTTGAAGTTAGGATGGATGAATCCAGATCAAGAGGCTAGGCAGTCTAGTTCAGCATTGTAGATTTAGTTCCTACCCCATGATACTGTCTTTAAAGTAAATTTCTAAAATGTAATGATAAAATGTATTTTAGACACTTTATTTCTAAAATACTAAGCTTATTTAATATTTTGGTAATTTGATTTTCAGGAAATTTCCTGAAAATGTTTGCTGCATTACGTAATACAGTTGTCAAGTCTGGAATGATTTGGTGAAGAAGAAGATTTAATTGTATCAGTGCTCTGAAATAATATTCAGAGTAACATTGAAGATCTTTTGAAGCCTGTAAAAATGTGTCTTCCTAGAAACAAGTTTAGAAAGCAGGTTATACATAACAAAATCAATGCTTCTGATGCATCAGTAATTGTTTCCACAAAAATGGGCATTTGTGCTGTACTAACAAAAGTACAGATGCAAAGTTGATACTTAGTATAATAATAATAATAATATCATGATGTGAAATGGCAAGTATCGTTTGCCCCAAAGAACTTCAGCCTTGAATAAGAATCTTCATCATATCTGACCAGCAAATCTTGATACTTGGTCTGGTTATTTATACCTTCTTATTTACCATAAATATATCTGCTAAAGTCTTTTTTCAAATTCTTGCCTTGTAATGCCTTGTTTGACTTCTTGAGGTCTCAGCACTTCTAAGCATTTATTACTTTGTCCTATCTAGTAGTTTAAATTTATGGTGCATGTTTGTTTTCTGACACTTGAGTTTAAGGTACCTTGTGGTAGTATGTTCCATGAGTGTACACAAAGTAACTGTGGAGGAGGTTGAATGCTTTTGAATTGATTTCTGCTTTGGTATCCATTATAATTTATTGTCCCGTGTTCTCATAAAAGTAAATAGCCCACAGCATAGGGTTCATTTCATCAACTGATTTAAATGATATTGTTGTAGTTTTATTTTACTACTATTGCAATTGCCTTCACGTACAACAGAATGGGATGCACTGATGTTTCATTTGAAATGGAATGCAGAGAAATGACTCATTTCTCAAACTACTATGACCTCATTTC